TCCTGCCCTTGTCCCGTTTTATTTGGGGTCGGCGCAATATGTTTTTTTCTTCCATTCTGTCCGGTCACTCGTCACGCTATCGCTAACTCCTCTGTCTTCCATATCACTTCTCACACAATTCATCCATATTTTCTTTGGTCTCCCCCTGCCTCTCCATCCATCCACATTTATACACATGACTTTTTTTGTTACATGCTTTTCATCCCTCCTTTTCACATGGCCATACCAAGACACTACACTCATCTATCAAACCTCTGTATTAGATTTCTTACTTTATTTCATCGTTATAAAGATGGAAATGCAATAATTTAAGAAGTATAGCTTAATGTGCTGTCATCGGCTTTGATGATATATTGTTTTTTTAATTACTGGTACATGTTAGTGTCATTTTTAGTAACTTTTAAGTCGTCTTTAATATTTCTATAGGTCTTGAACTAACCAGGATTTATTATTATGTCAACGGCTTATTCCAAGAGCTGTTTTATCTGGAACTCGACTAGTTTCAAGACATTCTAGGAGCTCATATTCATGAGCAGCAGTATACGACACACAGCGTCGCAAAGCTAACGATTATAGATATACATACATAAACGCATAACTGTTTGTTTGAGTCGACCATAACTAAATATTTAACCCCAATCTTCATGAATTTGGCAAATAAATTAATCCATTCAAGTTATTGGGCGATTAATATTGAGATTCCACTCTTTTATTGCAATAAATATGATAAAGTTCGATTCACAAGAAAATTACCAAAAAAGAAATATTATTAAAAATATTAAAATTTAATTTCATAGTTTACAAAAAAAAAAAAATGTAGGTACAGATTAATTTCGCACAGTTTTTTTAACAAGTATTTCGCACGGATATCTGACTACCCTACTATTACTCATTTGTTTTATTAGTGAACTGCCACGATATTGCCAGTATGACTATTACCCACACGTTCACTCTATTTTTCTTACATCAGATAAAAAAATATTGAAATCGGTCTAGCAGTTTACGCCTAATACTATGACCACGGGAATGCTTATAAAAATTATCTACCATATGTTTTTTATTTTGTGAGGAGAAAATCATCAAATGACTTCCCCCGCCCAGGGCCGGGCGGGAGGGAGTGTCAGGCTCTTACTAACTAAAAACCCCCCTGTTCCTTCTCCTGCTCTGTGCCGAGGTCGCGGTGCCTCATTGCGCTTACCCCGCAACCCCGGCTGAATCTACCATACGTGCAGAGCGCAAACAGTTCTCTTCTAAATCTATTTGTCAATATCCCACTAGTTGAATACTAATTATTATTACACAATACGGAAGCACTCTTACTAAGAGAACAGCTTATTGAAGTAAACAATAAATCTGCAAGCATGGAGATTGTAACAAATTCTTCGATATAGAAAAAACTAAAAGTCCGAATACTCAAAAAACTCGATTATTGAATCGTTAAAATACACAAAGCATTTTCCAATCTCAAGTTCTGTAGCCATACATAACAATCTATGGAACTAAGTAGAAGGCAAACATTCTAAAAACATTCTTAACTAATTAGAAAATGATATTTAATTACTGTAAAATATCTAAATTAGTATCTAAAGTCCTAAACATGTCGGCGGAGTTCAGTAAAATGTATGCTCGGCACGTAGCCGGCCGTAGCTTAAAATAACTTGTGTGAGGCGCTTTACTTACGTCCAAATACCAAAGGAAGCGACTTGAAGATATTTCTGATACGCTACTTGCTCCTGGACCCTTTCTTTTGCTTTTCTTTTAAGTTATTACACATCTGCCCCGGTTGTCGTGTCCGAATGGAAGTGGGAATGCGATAAAACTAAATGAAAAGTAAAAAAATGTAACATATTTTTCGCTGACTGTCTATTCTTGTTGATTGAAGATCGAAAAAAATACTTTCACTTGAAATTTGTATATATTTTTCTTTTTGAAAATTTTAGCCAGGTTACTTTAATTCTTAAGCTTCTGTTTAAAGTTTTACTTGAATTGAAGTGGTGAATTTTTTTAACAATTTTCGATATAACATTATTGGCTTTTGCCCGCGACTCCGTTCGCGTGGAAAAGAGACTTCCTGTAGATTTTTGGTATAAAAACTATTCTAAGTCGTTCCTCGAGTTCCAAACTATGTCTGTAGTACCAAATTTCACAGAATTCAGTTGAGTAGTTTAGGCGTGAACAAAACACAGACAGACAGAGAGAGTTGCTTTCGCATTTATACTATTAGTATAGATTGTATTAATTATATAGATTATATTAATATCCTGTTATAGTTTTTTATTTTTTTTTTTATTTTTTATTTATTTATTTATTTATCATCCTTAACACTAACATTACAGTTACATAGTTACCAAATAAAACCTAATTAAATACATCTTTGACCAAAGCGTTAAAAAATATAAGTCCTGTCACAATTTTTATCAATCTCTCTCACCTGGACTAAGATGGGAACATTTGCAAAGATGTCGATTCATTAAGCTGTCAGCGTTTTTATGTTAATACATTCCACTTTAGGATCGCGTGATGCAGCTTTTCTACATCTTTTTTATGTTTTTTCCCTTGTTATGTATACCCAGACCCACCTAACGTAATTTGGTTAGCACTTTTTCTACAATTGCCCACCAAATTATTTTTATTTTAAATCAATTATTAATTAGTCATAACATTCTTCTAATGTATGTAAAATGATTTTTTTATTTTTGTATATATGTGTGCAAAAAAGTATGTACAAACAAAATAATCTATATTTAGGGCTGATTTTTCAATGATTCAATAAAAGTTACCTGGGAAATAATTACGATGCTGTCGCGTCAGAATGTTTGTATAAGACAGTGACAGCAAAAAATTTTTTTCTCAGATAACATTTATCTGTCTATTGAAAAATCAGCCCTTAGCGACTTTAAAACATTTAGGTACAATCAATCTAACGTCTCGGGTCTTCTTTTTATTAGTATGAAAAATGTTTGTGTTTCAGATATACCTAAATGTAATCTATACTAATATTATAAAGAGGTAAAATTTGTAAGTTTGTATGTAAGGGGTAACCATTGGAACCGCTGGTCGGATTTCCAAAATTCTTTCACTGATAGATAGCTACAATATTCCTAAGTACTATAGGCTATAAAACATCACGCTACGATCTGCAGGAGCTGAGCAGCGGGTGAAAACGCGCGAGAGCAGCTAGTATTAAATAAATAAATTATAGTTTATAAGAATACTTTGGGCATTTCACTTCTTCGTTGTTCATTTGTTTTTCTTAATATTGCTAGTTACTTAGTGTTTTACCTTTCTTTTATTCGTTGTTATATTATTATATAGGTACTAATAGCTTTTGCCCGCGACTTCGTTCGCGTGGAATAGTGACTTTCTGCACATTTTTGGTATAAAAACTATCCTATGTCCTTTCTTGAGTTCCAAAATATGTCTGACAGACAGAGTTACTTTCGCATTTATAATATTAGTTTGGACAATTTTCCTTATTTTTTTTATTCATTATTAAGACAATAGAATTTTTTTACTCAAAGGACTGCTTAGCATAATAATATGTTTGAAAAACTTTGCTCGCAATGTGTAAACTACGAATTCATACAAATTATTGTAGAAATATCACTAGAATCCTGTCTAGTGATATTTTTATTTTTGTATGTCACACCTGCTATACCATTTACATACAAATAGTAAGCCAGGTGCAAAATACTCTTGTTTTTATTTCTATCTATGTATGTATTTATGTGTAAGAAAAAAATAAAAACTACATAATGTAAGTTGGTTTCGAAACAGAACTTTAGTACTATGTATCCTTTTGAAAAACAGAACGCTGGGAATTAGAATAGAAATCTAATAAATGCATGGTGAGTACTCAGTACCTAGGCAAATTTTGTATGTGGCGTTTTCCTTAAACGTATTCGTTTTTACTTTTATTTGTTTGGTAACTAAATTTGTTTATTTTAAAAGAATATTCGAATTTTTTCGGATTGAAAGCTGATAGGTTCTTCTCCTAGTTTTTACTTGTCATTTTTTTTATGTTTTATTAGTTAACTTTACTTTGTTTTTCATTAAGTGAATTACGAATGAGTTTCTGTTTGAGAAAAAAAGATAATTCTTAACATTTGCATTTAATCTGTGAATGATTAATTAAAGTAAAACTTAAATAAAAAGAAACTACACACCTTATTTTTGAAACTTTATCGCAACAAAACTTTAAGTTCTTTATTTAAGAAAATAAACTATACGTTAGACACTTATGTACTTACAAGTACCTAATACAAGTGACAGCTAATATGCTAATAACTCTAGCAAACGAAATTGTGACATAAATCCCCAGTGTACACTGGCTATAACAATATTACGTTAACCTAAAGGGAATATAGATATTCCAACTATTTATCGACACTCGTAACGACACGCAAATACTATCGATAACCCGTTATCGATAAAATAATGTTACTATAAAACTGTCCAATTGTACTTATGTAGATTATCGGTATAATGATAACGTGACGTCATTGTTTTTCGATAAAATTGTGATACATCACTATGTGTGGAATACTGCAGTCGCATTGGGACGGATCTGATAGTCATTTATTGTTTTAATCATAATTTTATCCAGATATCAACTGCCCGACAGTTGTTCTGAAGTATTCATTGTTCAGTTTTGTCAAGACCTGTTAATATTTTAATCTTTTTGACATTTTGAAACTCCTTTTTTTATCAAATTCGGTTGAATCTTAAATGAACAACTTATTTCGGTAATATAATCAAGTAGCTACTTACAATAATACTAGAATAACATAGAACTAATGTTAATTGAATGCAGAGAATCAATTATTTACCGAATTAACAAAAAACTTAAATAACAAAAACTCTATCGAATTTTATTCAAAATCCTTATAACGAACGTAACCGAACAAGACAGAAAAGGTTTCCCATTAAAAACCTAAACGGAATAACCATAAACCACAATTAAAAACCGTTACCAATGTCCATTATGAAAAAACACAAACCTTAACAGAAAAAAAACCTCGCCTCGTCCAAGTCGTCACACCACTATTTTATAACAAAATCCTTTTTTTCGCAAAAAAAAATAACACAAACACTGGTTTTTTATCGAATTGATCGCGAGCTGCGCTGTGCTATCGATGCGTCGATAGGCCGCGAGCGAGCGCGTCCGACTTCCACGGGGGTGGCAGATCGACTGACGACAAACGCATCGCCGCGCGCGTTCTATGCGCGGGCGCAGCGTACCGTCAGCAGCGCAACCTTGAATGCATTTCAAGATTTATCTCAAATGGCAATTTTTCCCGTTTATGACAATTATATTTTGGTCCGAGTATTTAGACGAGGTTGTGGTAATTAGTTGCTTTAATGGATATTAAAATCTATAATTAGTTGGTTTTACAATGTATTTACCACGGGTTCTTAAGATTTGACCATTTTAGGATTTTTATATTTTAACTTTTAGCTATCATGAAGTCCTTGTTGGTACTTTGACATCAGTTAATTTTAAAAGTACTATACATATAATAAAAGGTTTAAACTTGAATCAGAATATAAAAATATGTTTATATACTGCCATTATCTGCCAGCACTGTCAATATTTGTGTTATTTTTTTTCTTCCTCATCCATAGTTAACTAAGTGGTCCAGCCTATTCATTTTTGTTTTTTTTTTTTTGTTCTATGTGACACGCGCACTTAGCCCTGTTTATTTTTTCTATAGATGTATGAATAATTTTACACACAAAATATTATAGTTCCTATAATTTACGTTTGGGTTTTAAAATTTCTGAATAAGGCCGAACGAATCGAAAAACAGCGCATTCAAAATATCAGATACAATACTTGTATTACAAAATGAGCGAAACAAGTTACTTCCGACGTCGGAACATGTCCCCCTGCCCTAATGCACGGAGATAAGAGGTTGATACACTCTGTGATACTGATAACGCATCATTTACAATACAAAGATTACCACAGTCAAGACTTTTGGATACGCAACCGACGCGACATATTGTTCGTGTTTTAAAAGTTTAGTATAGTACATTTATGCATTTGTTTCAACAAATTACTTAGGTATATATAATATAATATTTTTTTTAATGTAGTAGGTCGGCAAACGAGCTAACGGATTACGTGATGGTAAGCAATCAGCGCCGCCCATGGACACCCGCAACGGAGGAGTTACGAATGCGTTGCCGACATTTTAGGGACTAGGGATTTGGAGATTTAGGGATTGAGCCGGTGATACCCATTCGTTCTGAAGCATGGCTCACAGACTTCTATTCACATTAATTGAGAAAAACTCCACTAGTTTCAAATCATAAAGGGATTCTTATTGATGACATCAGCACGCAGCCAAATCATAGTTTGCTGTTCATAAATATGGATCCCGATATTACAAAACTAGTAGAGCTTTTCCCAATTTATTTATGTAACAGTCATTATTTTCAATAAAAAATATGTCTCATGATAGTAATTACTTCAGAAATCATTATATTCAATTACTTTTTTATGGCTTAAAATGGCATACTAGACAACAGATCACCTTATGTGCATTCCCGGCCTTTTAAAGATAGAAAAAAGTTCAGCTTAGGTTGTTGGTCAAGTCAGTAAGAGTCAGAAAGAGTCTGGCCCCACCAAGAGCAAAAACAGTCATTTGAATCATCAAATGAAAATCGGTGCTATCAAGCACCGATGTAATCCTAGTGTAGGACCTCGATAAATAAACTTATATAATGTTTTGCAATGGTGCCCTACGTATTAATCCGGTATCGATCCGTTGCATTTTTCATAAAAAACTTCTACTTTTTTATGTGAAAAACTGGCAAACGTCTAGAGAGAAAAAGAAAGAAGAAGAGAAAGAAAGAAAAACACACATAAAACAAAAATACAAAAAAAGAAGAAAATAAAATAATACTAAAAATATAAACTAAACGATACAGATAAAAATAAAATTATTTAAAAAAAATTAATAACAATTTATTTATGCGTGAGGTAGCGTGTATTTTTTATTATCTGTGGACCATAAGGACAAGAAAGTAAGATTTGTGTTTGTAACAAACTATGAAATAACAAGAAACATAATTATATTAATTTAATTAATTTGATAATTTCCTCCTAAAAAACCTAGTAATTAATGAGGTGAAACCTATTTGATGTCACCAAAGGACACGCTACACCTGGGAAATCGCGAACAGGTTGACGGTTTTGTCTGTGCGACAGTAGTATCACTCCCGTTGAGTTCGCCAATTCGAGCAGAAGCGTGATGACTCTATAAAAAAAATAAACATACATATACAGTAGAACTATTTCAGAAATAACACTAAAAGATTTTTTTATTTATTTCTCTTAAAAAAAAAGTTGTCCCACTTAAGGATTTTCTCCTGTGTTGTGGGTGCGTTTACAAACATACAATGTCACATACACATGACACCCAGACCCGAAACAACAATTTGTGAATCACACAAAGTGTTGTTCCGTGCGGGAATCGAACCCGCGACACGTTGGACGGCAGCCAATTGCCCAGCCACCGCACCAACCGTGCAGTCAAAAGTGATGTTTGTGTTTTAATACTATCTAACGACAACGCTAAGTATTTTCTACCAGTTTCTAGGCACACAACGAACTGTAAAATTTCCTTTTCCCAACAAACAATGACATGACATGACTTTCCACAAGGTAAGGCTGTGGTTCCACTGACAACGGCTAGTAGTGCTTTGGAAATCGCTAACGGTTATAACTAAATTACGACTAACGAGTTGGTTTTGTGTTTTTATCTTTGGGTCATTACTAAATAATAATATTTTGATCATTTATTTTTATAATCAAAGTAGATACTTAGGTGTAGGTACATTGTATAGTTAATTTTTATGTGGCTTTAAATATGAAATAAAAATGGCAGAATATTCAATACTATACTAAAATCAAAATCGCATGCTCTTAACATGTAGGTTTGAATAATAAACTAAGTTAAATAGCGTAAAAAGTTTCAAGCGTGGGGAGCCATGTTTTAGCACGAATGGGTCGGCTCGAAGGGAGTGATACCACGGACTTACAGAAAAAGGCCCGTGCTGGTTACATGTATGAACTGTGACGTCAGATGATGCAAATAATTATAATAATAAAATCGATTAACATTTAAGTGCCGATATTCATCAACTGACTGACTTGACTTGACTATTTATCATGAACTCGAATGATTTCGTGTGATATTTTTTTAAGATAGGTTCGTCATCATCGTCATCATCATCATCATTATCCACAACTAATGAAATCTGATCTGTCCATCATTTACTGGTCTATCGACTTATGTTAAAGGGAATCCTTTAATCTCCACGTTTAACGAAGCGCTCTCTGATACATTTGAACAGCGACCTCCAATCCTGAAATATGTACTTTCAATCCTGTTATTACGATTGGTCGGCAAAAAAACAGACAGATTACCTGATGGTAAGAATCCGCCACACTGAGTGCTGGACTTTGGGATTTAGGATTTTGGAGATTTAGGGTTTGATGACAAGAATTGGGTTGTACTTATAATCAGATAAATATTATGTGAGTTATAAAATAATTTATATGAACTAATCATACAATAATTAGTCAACTTCAAATAAGCATTCAAAATCGCTCCCGCTACCCGCTGTCAATGGGGCCTCGCCTAACGGATCAGCACATAACCAGTGATTATATTATGTCGGCAGCTTTTACCATTGTCAATGATTAGAAAACACCAATAATGTGAGAAATTCATTAGTTCTACTAATGCATAGGTTTTTATCGTAACGCCACTTACACATGTAAAGTCTTATGTGAAAACTGTAGTGTTATGTATTGTACGTGTATATGTATTAGACATAGTTATGTATGTATATGTAAACTAACCATCTATAGCATAAAAACTTATTTTGTTTTTACCTCTTCAAGTCAGAATTAAGTTATCAACATTGTTACCATTTATTTCTTTATTTTGTTTTCGTCAAGTTATAGACAATAGGTGTGTAATTTCTTTACATGAACATTGAGAATAATTATAGTGGGTTTATTATGTCAAAATAAAAGTAAAAAATCAAATCATTCATTTTAAATATACCAGTCGAATCCTTTTCAAATATGCACTTTTGAAGGTCAAACAAAAAGTAAATAAAACATAAGGACTTTCTCCTGTGTCTAACCTAATATAAAATTTCACATACACATCACACCCAGACCAGGAACAACAAATTGTAGATCACATAAAGAGTTGTCCACGGAAATTAAACACGCGACATGTTTCGCGGCAGCCGGTCGCCTAGCTACCGCGCCAACTATGCAGTCAGGTCAAAACATACGTATATTATACATCTTAAAATAAATATTTTCCTGTAATACATTACCATATAAGTAAGTCCTTTAACTTTGTTGACAATGATAACCAAAATATGAGTATTACACACGATGCAGGCATTCCACTATTCCGTGGAAGCCACGGTCTGACTCACAAATGGCTGCCAACCTTCAGGAAACCCACGCCAGCTTACTCATAAAAACTTGGAAAGGGATATTTTGACCATTTTCGGTATAAAGGACTATGGTGGTGGAATTGAGATCAAGTACAAGGTTTCAAACTGTTACCCTATATATAAGAAGAAATATTTTTTCTGTTTTTTTTTGTGATTGTACTAGACTATCGCACTTAGGATACCCTATATAAATAAGGTAAAATTTTTTTTTTTACAAAATTAAAATATTTGATAGGATGACAAACTAGCCGCCATCGTAAGCATTTGGGCCCCCCAAGGACACCTGCAAGCCCCAGGAGGGGTTACGAGTGCATTGCCAGCTTTTTGGGGATTGGGAACTAGTTTTTTGGATTGGTGGGGATCGAAGGCGAGGGGAAGAATTGGGTCCCACTCACACGTAGAAACACAACGGTGTGGTTGTTTCACGACAGTTTTCTTTGAGGTCTTAGTATAATTCCGATCTAGTCAACCCATTCGTGCCAAACATGGCTCTCCCGCACTATGTGTTTATTTAACTAGCGATGACCAGGTGAAAGACTAACATTATTATTGGAAACAAGTCTTCCTTTTTATCCACATGCTTGCCAGACCGCTTAGGTATTGCTTTTAAGTCACCTACAGTTTAGAGGACGCGGTTCCTCAACTCCCGATGACTAAGAAATTTTTAGGAGATATCTTGTCCTCAGGCACAATATGCT